ATCACCATCAAATATTTTAGTCTATGTAGTCAAAGTCTTCTGGAATTCCAAAATTTTTATCAATTTTATTTTCTTCAAACCCAAATTTTCTTTTGGCCCAGGATTTTATCGCAAATATGTTATCTATAAGAAAATTGAAAAATATTTTTGAGACTTAAAAACACAATCATAAAATATCCAAATATAATTTTCATTGTTCTTTGCTCCTATTACTTTCAGATGTATCGAAATAAGAGCCTTTCCATCTTTAGGAGTAATGGTAATAACTGTAGATAAAAGATGCTTTGAACAAGTAAACAAATTTCATTTAAAAGCTCAGCAAGTTTTTGCTACTGAAGGATTCCTAACAGAAGTAATACAGATAAGGACAGTTTCCTGGAATTTTTTTCACATTTTCACCAGAGCCCAGGCTCTTTTACCTCATCACTTAAGAGTTGCTCTTGCTCCCAGAAGGAACACTTTCTCTCCAGACACCTTTCCTTCCCCTCAGAGTAATGGCTGCCAGACAATCCAACAGCCTGAGGGAGAGGGGTAAGGAGGGAAAGGTGTTCTCTTCTTAAGGCAAGAACAGATGTATCCTCAGCATCCCTACAGGGAATTTGCATTGTACCACTGGGGAAAAGAATGTGGATATCTACTTAAAGGAATTTATCACAATGGGAGGAAATGCCCAAATTGTGCACAAAGATTTCTGAACAAGGATTTTCATCCTAGTGCAATAATACAAGGTCATCATTGACTCATTAAGCATGGCACCTGTTCTAGTCTGCCTTCAATTGCTGTGACAAAACACTCTGATCAATACCAACTTGGGGAGGAAGGGTTTATTTGGTTTGCATCTCTCAGGTATAGAACCTGGAGGCAGGAGCTGAAACACAGGCCATGGAGAAATGCTGCTTAATGGCTTGTTCCTTTGGCCTGTGCTCAGCCTGCTTTCTTTTTCTTTCTTTCCTCTTTTTTTTTTTTTTCTTTTTGAGACAGGGTCTCCCTACAGGGGCTACAGCCCAGCTGGCCTGGAACTCGATATGTAGACCAGGCTGGCCTTGAACTCACAGAGATCACCTGCCTCTGCTTCAAGTGGGGGTATTAAGGGTATGTGCCACCATGCCTGGCTCAGCCTGTTTCTGATACAACACAAGACCACACCTGCCCAGAGATGGTACTGCCCACAGTGGGCTAGACTCTCTGACATCACTCAACAATCAGAAAATGCCCTACAGACATGGCCACAGCCAGTCCAATAGAGGAAATTCTCTAATTGAGGCCCCGTCTACCCAGGTGTGTCAAGTTGACAACCAAAGCTATCCAGCACAGCACCTATGCAAAAGGTGCCTGCCTTTATGAATAAGAATGATGGCTGTTTTCCCCCTTTAATTCGACACATTTCTCAGCATATATATATATATATATAAACTTTATAATGAAAATTTATCACACACACACCCCAATGGTTTAAGTTTTTCTGATCTGTCAGGGTACACTATAAAAATAAACACTGTATTAGTAGTGAAAATCAAGTAAAAGATTAGAATAAGTTCTTCTGGAGCGCCTGAGCTATTATGTCATCACTTCTTGACAGCAACCCATACTATGTTAGTTCTGGAAACGTACAAGAGATACCATCTGCAGGTCAGAGAGAGGCCTCAGAAGAAACAAGACCTGCTATTGGAACACTGATTTTGGAACTAATGCCTTCAAAATAGTAAGAACATATAGTTTTGTTGCTTAAATGTAGATTTTGTTCTACCAACCATTCCTTGCAAATTAATACACTCAATCTGATCTTCATTTGATATACTATTTCTATGGAAGTTTAATTCTAAATATCAAATAAAGATAAATACAATTAAATTTTCTTTCTAAAGTAAATACTATTATCTGAAACAGAATAAACAGTGCTAACAAAATGTCATGTTTTTCCATAAAAGTGTTATGGAATGTAAACAGATATTCAAACAAATCTACTTTTTATAACAATTTAAACTGAGTCTTAACCTTTCATTACATGTGAGAATACTAAAACAAAGGCATGAAGTACTCCAGGATCTGGTGAGTTTGTTTAGTTTTACCAGTGTCTGCACAGTCAGTACTTCCTTGCCAATTACAGTAAAGTATTTACAGAGGTGAGACAGAAGACAGGTATTAAGTACATTACAGATATTTCAGAATCTAAAGAAATCATAAAAGGATGACCTAAGAGGAGAGAGAAAATATCATTTCCAAACAATTCCAAAGTGATATGTGTACCATAGAAAAAAGACAAAGTATTATGTGTATGGCTTCCAGGACAAGTTCCATAAATGCAGAAAGACTTTCAGGAAACAGGAAACAAATACAACAATAGAGGAAGCTGGGAAGAACCTTTGAATTGGGTCAGAAAAAGAGAAACAGGCACCCTACAAGTCTATGTAACAGCCTCTGAAAGAAGGAGTTTCTGGATCAGATAAAGACAAGAAAACATTCTATAGTAAGCATCCAAAGATTAGAAACAAAAGAATCAACAAAGGCCTCTTTGCATGCCTACTGGCCAGTTCAAGGAAGATGCTGACCAAACTTTTCTCAGGCCACTGGAGGTCTGCCTTCTTCAGACACCCATATACAATCTTGACAGTTCATTTCCCCATCAACTAATTGTTCTACTATAGAGAATTTTTTGTAAGTGGATAAAGAATAATTTTTTTACAGAACCAACCTTAAGACATAGAGTTCCTGTTAATTCACGTGGCTGCATACTCAAGATCAACATGGGAATAAAGGGGCCACTATTGGTGGTGGATCTGTCCACTGTACACATTAAAATACCTTGTGATTCCCAGCACAGAAAACTCAAGTCTACTATCTTAATTTATTATAATTTGTCAAATAATATTTAAAGTGTCACAAAACATTTAGATGCAGTTTGTCTACATTGTAAATGTAGATGAAGACTTGTGGGAAATGGGGAACTTACACAACAACAGAGGAAGCTTATGTGAAGAGACTGAACCAGGTTTAGTCTTAGGAAATCTTTCTTTCTATAAAACTGAAATGCTAAATTATTAAACAGTAGATATTTTTAATTCTAGACACATTTTAAGGACACTGATAGGTAAAAAGAAACTAAGCTTCAATTAATAGCTATATAATTTTTAGTTATAAATAATTCTGATTTTTAAAATTTATCTTGAAATCAGGGAGGTTTTTGGAGGTACAATGTATTTTATCTCTTCATCTTTAGGGCACATGTTTATGCTGGAAAGAGTAAGTTGTAGCCTTGAGTGAGAATATTTTTGAGACAGGATCTCATTAGTCCAGGCTGGTGTCAGACTGACTATGTAGCCAAAGATGATCTTGGACTTCTGGGGTTTTTTGTTCTTTCTTTCTTTGTTTTGAGACAGAGTCTCCCTCCAGACTCTGGTCTGGAATTCCCTATGTGGACCAGGCTCTGCCTCCCAAGCTCTGGGACTAAAGGTATGGGCCACCATACTCTGCTAACCTTGGAACTTCTGATCTTCCTTGTTTCTGCTTTCTGAGTGATGGATTACAGGTATGTACCACCATGCTCAGCTTAATTTGGTACTGAGTATCAAATGCAGGGCTTTGTACATTGCTAAGTAGTTTATCAACTGAGCTATATTCCCAGTCTGGGAAAATAGTTCTTAACAATTATATCCATTATCATAAAACTATCATTTCTGGGGCTGGAGGTTGGCTCAGTGGTTAAGAACACTGGTTGTTCTTGCAGAAGACCTGCGTTCGAATCCCAGCACCTACATGGCAGCTAACAACTGTCCATAGCTCCAGTTCCAGGGGATCCGACAGTCTCTTCTGTTCTCCGCGAGCACTGCACAACACAGGTACAAGGGTGCACTTACCGACATGCAGGCAATACACGTATACACATAAAATAAATAAATAAAATATTTTAAAAAACTATCATTTCCATATGTTAAAAAAAACTTCTAGGTACTTTTGCAGCTAATCACATAGGTGAAAAAATTCTTCCAACAGCTTTTCAAATTATAATTTTAGTAGCTTATGATGAACTGGAAAACAACTTATGATTGTTTATTTAACAATTAGAATTTTACAGTGAATTGGAAAAAGGGAGAAAAGCAGATTATGTCTGTCTAATATTGTGCTGAAAAGCTTATGGACTCTTAGTTCCCTCAGAGCTGAGGCAGACATTATGCACAGAGAACAGAGGAGAAAGCAAGTTCACAGAGGTTCAAAGGGTCACACAGCAAAGGTGTTCAGCTTGGATTCCTTCTGCTGCATATATACCTATTCCCACCTTGGATATGCTGCCTTTTCCAGAACTACCAGAGGAAATCATCTGACCCACCTTTAAAATTATTACTTTTTTATTTATTGTCTGTGCATGGGGGCAAGGTGACTGCATGGATGACATGGTGTGAGTGTGTGGACGTCAGTGGACAACCTGGGGAGTCAGTTCTTTCCTTCTACCACGTGGAACCCAGGAATTGACTCAGGTCATCAGGCTTGATGGCAGGTACCTTACCTAAGCAACTTCGATGGCCCCTAACCCGTCTTATCTTTAACCCATAAGGCCACTGGCTTCATTTGTCACACTCAAAATTTTCTCAGGCTGGATATGGTGGTGTATGTCTTTAATCTTAGTATTTGGGAGACAGAGGACAGCCTATGACATCAAGGTCAGCCTGGTCTACAAAGTGAGTTCTAGGCCAACTGGGGCTACAGGGAGACCCTGTTTCAACAATATATATTAGAGAATATATATATTTCTCAAACCAACATAATATCATTGCATTTGTTTATAATTATTTATTGTTATTTACTTAATTTGGAGATAAAGTTTAATGATATAGACGAGGCTAGCCTTGAACTCACCATGTAGCCATGACTGGACCTAAACTCCTAATTTTCCTGCTTCTAATTTCTAAGTGCTAGGATTACAAGCATGTGCCACCATGCCAAAATATATTTACTTATTTATATTTTACATAATACACAATTCATTATATCTTTAATGTTTGTTCTTTTTTTCTTCCACTCTTATTTTAAAGTAGTATTTTATTTAGAAAATGACTTGTTATCAAAAGTTTTATAGGAGCCAAAGGACAATTATATTAATATTACCAATTCATTTGATTCTAAAATAGTCAGGAAAAAATTTTAATTTTTTGTGAAGCACAGGCCTAAAAAGGCAGCAGGGAGTCTGGCACAAATCGGGTTCTTCAGTGACTAATCCTTTCTGACTAAACGCAGTCCCTTTAAGCTTTTACCATTTCTGCTTCAATCTTATACATATTTTCCCACGGAAGCATAATGAGGATGAGTAATACATGGGAAGATATTATAGACTCTCACTGGGGTGGAAAAACTCAATCACCATCATTTTATAATTAAATATTGGGAAAAAAATCAATGTTACTTTTTGGCAGGTTTTAATAATACTAATCATATGTGTATACAAATCATAACAACCATTACTAACTTTCTTCTAAACTTTAAGACACATACATAATGCATTTTCTGGAGTGGGAAAGCCTTGAGAGAGAATAGGAGCTCATTATGTAGCTCAGGTTGACCCTAAACTGACCGTAACCTTCCTGCCTTAGCCTCCAAAGTGATGAACTTGCAGGCATCTGCTATCACATCTGGTGTCATAATGTCCATGAACTCCTACTTCTTAGAATCTCTCTGGTATAGATCTGAAAAAGAAAGCAGACTTACAGGAAAGACAACGTTGTTCCAGAGTGTGGGCTTTGGACTCAGAAACACAGGGGTCTTAGGGTATGGTGGTACATGCCTTTAATCCTAGCACTTGGAAAGCAGAGGCTGGCAGATCTCTGTGAGATCAAAGCAAGCCTGGTCTACATAGCAAGTTCCAGGCCAGCTGAGGCTACAGGGAGATCCTGTCTCAAGAAAAGAAAACCAACCAAACAAAACAAAACAAAAGAAACACAGGGGTTTAATTCCTGTCCTATAGTACACGTATGACCTTGAACTCTTCAGGGTTTTGGCTGATTCTTCAAATTGAGGAAAATCTTCAAGATTATCATAGTGATAAAGTAACAAAATAACAAAGGTACTCATTACAGTAAGCAGCAAATAGCTTTCAAAAATATTAGCTGTTACTATTTACAAAAAGACAAATCTTTAGGATTCCATGAAACTTCAGGCTGGGAATATAGTTCAGTGGTAGAGCACTTGGCCTAGCATGTGTGAAATTCTGTGTTCAACTCCCAGTACTGTGAAAATAAATAAAGTAAAATACATGAAACTTCAACTATATTTTTCTTTTTAAAAATATTTTAGTATTTTCATTTTATGTGTATGAGTATATTGTCTGCATGTGTGTAAGTGTACCCGTGTTCTGCAATGCCCAT